ACCCCTCCCTTTGATGTGCCTGCTCTTATTTTACTTCCAGTTTCCATAATTAAGCTAGCGTCACCCTCTAATCTGACTTTTTTTTTTTTAATGTTAACAACATTTCTCATCTTTCATTAATCTGTCTGATAACTGAACATTTTATTGCGGTTGCAATCAAATGTTCAGTTATTTCCTTTTCTAAGTTTCGCTTGTCCATCTCATCAACTTTGTACTGCAATATATTTGCTTTTTTTCTCTCTGTACTTTCTAATATACCCTTTTCTATTTCACCTTGCTAGTAAAACTAGCTTTTCAATTTCTTCTTGTGATTTTCCATCTATCCAATCAGCTGTTTTGTTGTTGTTAAACATGATGAAACCAGCTGCAGCTACTGTTGTCATGTTAGGTTTCATTTTTAACCTGCGATCATAAGAAACAAAGTCATGTTCAGACACAACATTAGTACATGAGCAGTTTTGAGTTTCCTCAAGCACATCATTACCTGGATTGTGATATTTTCCTCCAGGCAAATTGTCTCTTAACTGACTCTAAATCATTACCCAACATGTGCAACATATAACTTCAAGACATTCTTGTGTTAAGGCATCCAAAATTGGATCATTACAATTTGAAAATAAATGATCAAACACTTCACCCTTGGTGAGATATTTTACATCAAAAAATGTAGAACCACTTAACATTTTTGATGCATCAGAACAACAACAAACAAAATAATTGAACATTTGCAACCAAATGGTATTCAAGGAAAAAATATGACCCTCCTCTTCAATAATACGAAAAAGAGTTCCTGATATCAGTTTATTAAAAATTCCTAGAAGCGTGAAAAATGACGTTATCAATATCGTTCGAAATTGAATCATGAAGGAAATTTGAACCATCAAGATTGAAAACTAATTCTTTAAGGTGATCTTTATGAAAATATGTTGCTCCACCAAGTGCAAATATAATGTTAAAACCATGATGCAGAAATGAAATCATATAATTTTTTAAAAACTTTTTATGCAATAATGGCTACCATTCATCAGCTTTTCCATTCCGCTGATCACCATGCCTATAGCTTGTAAGTTTTGAAAATTCATACAAAATATCAAAGGTGAGAGAGTATTGAGAGTTTTTAAAACCACCTTGAATACTACCTTCCTGCTTAACCACTTTTTCCCATTATATGATTGCTTTTTCTGCATATATTCCTAGACTGTGAATAACGTGTAAGCCACAAAAAACATGATGCATTTGAGAAATTTTTCATTTTTCATTTAAAGGAAACTGATCATAGTTTTTAACGACAAAAGGCAAAATTGCTTCTCTCCAATGTTTAAATTGGATAAAAAAACTTGAATTAACTATAGTGCGATTAGTCATCAAAGATTTGAAAAATAAAATAAGTTTCCTGAGATCATCCTCATAGTTTTCCTTTTCCAGAGAAAATATCTGAGACATATCAGTGAGTGAATTTTTTAACTCTCCAAAATAAGATTGTGCCTCTCCAGAAAACATTTATTCTATCCCAAATGTGTAGCTACCAGATGATGTTGTGACTTAAAACTACCAACCTCCCTAAAATTATACTTTGTGCTATCTGTATAAAGAACATTGTTTGTGCTATTCAACATAACCTCTCTCACATGAGCTTTTGATAAAAGGTTCATTTCACTAAAAAATTCAGCAGCCAAAAATTTTTTTGGAAGTGAGCCACATGAAATTCCAGCCATTTTTTGTAGTACAGTACTGATAACAGATTCAACATTATTAACAGAAACATTTTTACTTAAAAAGTCGTAATATACAGTGCGAATTTCATTATTATATCTACCTCTTTCAAAAACATCAATTATATTTTTTTCAAATATGTCAACTCTTTCCTTCAGCTCTTCTGAAAGATTTTCAAAGTAATTTAAACTTTCCTTTAAGAAGGAATCATTTGTTTCATTAGATGTTTTCAAAACAGTGTTTTCAATTTTTTTCTTCAAACACCATGCTTTTTGTCGATCTGATTGTGAACACTTTCTAGCCAAATCAATTTCTTTTTCCAATCTTAAATTTATTTTTAACAATTGGCTAATCCTACAATCTTTTTTAATGTCTTTTTTGTTGACTTTTCTGGCATTATATTTTGACAAGATTGCTTGATACTTTCTCTTATATTCATTGCATCTTTTATTAACTTGTCTATTTTGCAATTTAAGGTAATTAATTGTCAGTTTGTATTTTTATATTTGATAGGTGAAATCAACAGAAAATAAAGGTAGTTTTTTATCTAAATGGGAAACTGGAAAATTCTCAACACTAACACGCAATTCAGTAAGAAAATTTTCAGATCTATTTTCTAAAAGGATGTATACAATAGAAGTTGGGGTAACAGGGCACAACAATTCATCATTAGTAATTTGCAAGTTTAAATCAGAAGATACAAAAACAGTAACTTGATTTGGAACAATTTCACTATTGTAGATAGAAGTAGGGGTAGAACAAGCATCAGAAGGAAACAAACCAACAACATCAGAAAAAGCACCATTAAAAAATAAAGCAGAACTTAAAAAATGTTTTTTTAAGCCCGAATTTTTGGCTCGATTTAATTTTACAATGTAATCTTTGAACTTTTTTAAGATCCTTATAAGCATCACTCTAGAGATATTATACTTACAGTAGGTTGTAAAACATAATGAAAGATTTTCTAATGTTATGTTAAGTTTATTTTTGTCTTTGCAAATTTGTAAAAAATGGCTATTGGTTAACACAAAATCAGAATATTTGAGAGAAATAATGCCATCATTTATATCCAGAAAATCCAAAATATTCTTGCAGGTTGCTGTTTCTGACAACACTTTGGTAGCTAAAACTAATATTAAATTTAATTTGAGTGATTACAATAAATCTTTTGTTAATCAAAGAGTTGAAGTTTGATAATGTACCCCTTATCTAGCTTTGTGAAAATAAAAGGTAGATCATCAAACTTAAGTTTCTATAAATGAAATTATTAAAATATAAAATGTTTGTTATACATTTTTCCGTATTTAAAAATTTAAAAAGTCTATCAAAGTACGACTTACATTCTTGACTTATAGATTGAACCACCATTTCACGTAGATTGTTAAATACATAGCCTAAAAGAAGAGAATTTGAATTTGAAATTAGAGTTTATTGGTTCTCTTACTTAGCCAATATAAAAAAATTAATAAAAAATGAAAAAAAATAAATGATAACATTCTTATGCATTTCCATTTTGTAAACTTTAGACTAAAAGTTTAGTTAATTACTATTTCTTTATGTTTTGAAAAAAACAGTTTAGAGAATCTACAGACTAAAAACAGTAGTAGAAACAATAAGAATCAAGCTTGTAGTTGAGCATTCCAGACAAAATACCTTTAATAATACAAAAATTTTATTTTTATAGCTTTGAAAACTTAAGTAATTAATAAGGAATATACTTTCGCTTTCAATTTTATTTGTAGTTAAAATTTTGGAATTGCAAAATCAAAACAAAAAACGTCATAAAATATGTGAAGAAATATAGATAGATATATATACATAATTTTAATATACAAATACGAAGCACCAATTCTTTAAGAAAACATAATTAAACACTTGTTTTAAAAAGAGAAAAGGCTGAAAAGGTTCAAGTGGAAATTTGCCATTTCTACTTGAACACTTTCAAAACTTTTTGTCCAACGTCAAATGATTTTTGCTGAGCTGTGAAATCGCTAATATAATAATAATTTATATCATTCAATACCAGTATCATACATCTTGTATTGCATGATTTACTAAGGGGGACGTGATAATTCAAACAGTATATTTGTAAATCATTTTAACATAATTTTTTAACTTATTGATATATAGTTGCATAACTCCTATTATTATCACTTTATACCATTATCACACCATCTTACATTAAACGGTTTACTAAGGGGAGGTAATAATTTAGAAACTTAAAAAGGTATTTGTGAAGCATTTTCAATTTAATATATAACTAAAAGTTTATAGTTATTTACTATTTATTACATCACTCAATACCATTATTGCACCATCTTTTATTGAATGGTTTACTAGGAGGAAGGAGATAATTCAGACGCAAGTTTAGTAATTTACTCGGGGAAAGGGGATAATTCAGACAGATATTTGTAAATAATCTTTACATAATTATACATAATTATTATTTAATCAGTTTGTATAAACAGAAACTATACAACTATCAACTAATTATTAATTATTTTATATGTGTAGAATTTCAATCATTTTTCTTTAATGAAGATCAGACCATCTTACATTGGGCGATTTTCAAGGGGTAGGTAATAATTCAGACAGATTTAAATTATATCGGTCTGAATTTTACTTTTACATACACAGTTATATAACAAAAGCATTAGTAAATAACTAATTAGTTTATATTTGCTTTTTTTCTATTACTACCACTCTATCTTACATTGTTTTTCTTACATTACTTTTATGTAAACTTTTTTAATTTCTATTGTTTTCTTTTTAAATTCTTTTTAAATTCTTGTCCTAAGCGTTTTTTTCTCCTTGTTTATGTTTACAAAGGTACGGACGTTTTAGGTACACTTCTAACAGAAATAATCCGAAAGCGCAATCTCGTTTTGAGTTTTACGCAGTGGGAACTAATATTTCAGGCGGATCTAATATTCTACTACAGATCCCCGGTAGGCTCTCTTGTCAAACCCCTATTCCGACGTTGAGCGTCCTTTGCGTCCGCGAGCTTGTATTTCTAGAAAATAGGCGAAATGAGGTATATAGGGATTTGCGCTGCAGTGTGCACATACACCGACTGATTTTTAGAGAGAACATGCAGCGGAGTGTGGAAGCAACGACTGATGGTTTGGAGTAGGCAGGTTCTCTTTTAAATAAAAAAGTCGTTTTTTTACATTTTCGGACCTTGAGGACAGCGTCGGAATAACGGTTTGACAAGAGAGCCTACCCAGATCCCCTACCCAGAACTAAAAAGACTTTACGGAAGCCGACCAAAAAAAAATAAAAAAATAAATAGATCCGCAAAGTGTAACTAAATACATATCTTTAAAAATTTTTAGCCTATGTCAATTATTTTGCTAAAGTTATTTTTTGTTTTTATGTAATCTTCAACAATGTCTGGTAATGAAAAGAGAGTAAATGTTAATAAACTTATGTACAAAAGTGTAAACGATTTGAATAAAGTTGCAGAAAAAATAGAAGTTGTTATCAAAACTACCACACAATGTACACAGTATGGCTTTTGTTCTTCTTCATTCTTATTGTTTAATGAAATTTAAATAAAAGATTTTAGTTGTTTGCTGCTTATTATATAAACTCTATCAAAGTTGTTATGTATCGTATCTAATTTGTATTATGTTGCGACTATAATGATATATAACTAAGTTTTTAATATTTAAGTTTTATTTGCTATATATTTTGAATCAGATATAAAATATTTCAAAAAAAACAGTAGCAAAAACGATACAAAGGAAATTGGATCAACATGATCATCATAATCATCATAACCATTATGATCATGTTCATGATCACTATACTGCTTTTCAGTTTTAAAGATTTAATATAATGAAATAAAGTTCTATTTAGCATAATAATGAAAAATCTTTATTAAACTTTTTAAATGTTTAGCAATAGTTGATTATTTTAATATCTGGTTTTAACTATTAAACAATAATATTTTTCATTAAATTTCACAAGGTTTTTCTTTGTATATTTTAAATTTTATTTTGGTGTTAAGGTTTGATATCAAGCATTGTTTTTGTATTTTTTAATACAATTTTTATAAAAATTTTAAGAAAAATGCAGTTAATATATACTTAGTTTTGTAGATCTTTTTAAAGCCATATGCAGTAATTTGTGTATGTTTATTATGGGTAACTCCACATCAAATCACCCAATTTTTTGAAAGATGTATTTTCTTTTCTTTCATCTTTTCACATTCTTAATTCTTATTTATAAAAAAAAAACATTGTATGCAAAATTTTAGCTAAAAATGTCAAACAGTTGATGAGATATGGCAGTTTTAAAATTGAATTGACCTGTTTACTACAGGGTTCCCACTCCTCCTTAAACCCTTAAATATCCTTTAAAAAATAAAACTCCCTTAAAAGTCCTTAAATAACCTTAAAAAAAGTTGAAATTTGACTGCTCTCCTTAATTTCTCCCTAATTTCTTTTTTTATTATCTAGGGAATTTTATTAAAGTGAATGGATCATATTTATTAATAAAAAAGCAAATAGTTACTTCTTTGATGATTTGAAGTTCTATACTTTTACTATATATAATATATACATATATATATATATATATATATATATATATATATACATATATATATATATACATATATATATATATATATATATATATATATATATATATATATATATATATATATATATATATATATATATATATATATATATATATATATATATATATGTATATATATATATATATATTTTATTTCAATTCATCTCCCCAAGGCCACTGCATTCGAGAAGGCTACTTTAGTTGTGGTTACAACCCTCCCTATCGGCACATCTAGTTTCTTTTTCGGAAATAAAACCTATATAGGCACGTGTATTTCACGATCCAGGCGTAAACCAAAAGCACGTGTTTATTACGGGCAGTTTTACTAGAGTTTAACACGTGTTTTTTGAGGTTTTAAAGTCAAATTTAAATGTTGCATGTTTTTATCAGTGGTTTCACATTCCTTACGGAAAGTTATTAAAATATAATACTACGTTTCCATAACGGTGAAACCATTAATACTTTAACTGGTATTTATGGTAAATAGTAATAGTTAATTTCACGGAATAAACCATTTGGGATACGTGTTATTCTTTTTGTTTTAGAAGGTTTTAAAAACGCAACAGAAACCAAGCGTAACTATTTTCTGAGTTGTGCCGGCTGGGCTCTTTCAACTCTATAACTCCGAAACACAAACCTGACAAAAAAGACTGCTACACAGAAAAACAAGTTGAGCACAGGGCTACCAGGGGCAGGGTGGGAGTTAAGGTGTAATATATAATAAAATATATATATATATATATATATATATATATATATATATATATTCAATTGTGATTATTATCCAATAATCAAAGCAACAATATATATATATATATATATATATATATATATATATATATATATATATATATATATATATATATATATATATATATATATATATATATATATATATATATATATATATATATATATATATATATATATATACACTATAGCATATTTTTATGCGCAATTGCTCATTTTTTTTGCTAGCCTAAATTAAGTGAGCATTTTTAGAAAACGATGAGGGAAAATGAAGAATAATGAATGAAAATGTTGCTGACCCATACCAAACCCTCAGTCGATGTAGCAGCACTCCATAGCTGTGGAGTGCTGTGACCTCTCGTATTTATATATAATATACTAATAAAATATATAATTTGTAATTTCAAAATTTTGACAATTTAAAAAATATATATTATAAAACATTTATTTTTGTAAACAAATGATAATAGTTTAAAAGATTTACGGCTTTACAGATGTGGCTCCGAGAATGAGCCATAATATTAAAGTAATAGTTTATTTGATAATATATTCTTAAAAAAATTTATGCTAGATATCTCAAAACGCAGCAAATCATAAATAATACATTTCCTTAAACATTTCAACAGAATACTCTAGAACTTTATTTTGCTTAGTCAGCGTGTTTTTTGAACCAATAGAATTAGTTTGTTTGCAAATTTGGCAGGTTTTTAGTGTTCACAAATATTCTTTTTATTCTTCCGCAAGATGTTTTTAGAACATTCAAGTTAATTATGTTTCTATGTATGTCCGTAAAGTAAAAATTAATATATATAAATTTTTTCATTTTTAAGCCCCCGCCATAATATATATTGGATGTTATAATAATGGAAATATAAATAATGAAGCAAAATCACCTCAATACCAAAAAAATACATTTTTGAGAATCAGAGAAAAAATGTGTTGATAATTTTTTTTTTAATATTTACAAAGTAAGTAAACAAAAGTGCATTATTATTTAGGTTAAAAATTATTTTATCTAATATTTTGAAAGAAAAACTTATAACAAAAGAAATCAAAATACACGTGGTCTAGACGATTATTTAAAAAAAGTTTCGCAAATAAAATACTATTTTGTTTTTAATTTTTTTACTAACACATTTTAGAACTTTAAAATATTAAAAAAATTAATATGATTTGGAAATTGCATGTAAAAAATGATAATCGGCGTTTTAAACAAACAAACAAAAAAATCTATGACGTCATGTACTAAAACTTCTATGAATTAAACGCACTTGAATAAATTATCAAGTCTTTATAATGCGCCTGGAAAATCGCGTTTATTTTACAGACTCCAAATACCGCAGAAAATGGTGAAGACAATTTTATATTTAAAAAAAGTTATTATATTTAAAAAAAGTTGACAAGATTGAAAAAACACAAAACATATTGTCACATTGAAGTGGAAAATTTGAAACTTCAACTTTAGATTTGCCCCTTTCTCAATAATTTCTGATTGTTAAAATTACGTCATCTGCTTCTTAGACCTTTAAAAATGCAGGGTTCCTACCGAGCCTGTTTTTTTCCTGTTTTTTCCATTTTGGCCTGTTTTCCTGTTTTTTTCCTGTTTTTAAAGCAATAGCCTGTTTTTTTTTAAAAAGTCTGGCGATGTTTATATATAAAGTTATATATTTTATGAATTTAGGAGGCAATCAAGATAATATGTTTTTCAAACAAAATTTACTGATTTTGTTTTAGGTATAATATCAGCTATTTAGTTAACAAAGTTTTTACATCTATTTTTTTTTAAAATAGAATATTAAACCATGTAAATGTTATAAATTGAATTTTTGAACAACTTTTGTTTATTTTGTTATGTTAAACATGAATAGTTAAATTATAGTAATAGTTATGAAATTTTATTTTATTTTTAAATGAAGTTTTCACTTGTGTGACTGGATTCATAAATTAAATTAAATTATTGTGAAGAACAATTTTTTTGATATGGCGTTAACCTGTTTTGCTGATCAGGGGTTTTTATGTGACAACTAGAAAGGTTACCATCCTAGCCTCATACTGCAATTTTTATAGTTTAGGTGGTTTAGATTTTTAAATCAGAGTTAAGGAGCCTATCTTTCCCCATATAAAACCAATTTTACAGAATTCTGATGAGAAAGTCCTTTCCAATATAAAAGTTTCAACTGCAATGATTAAACTTTACAATAATTTTCTTGACTCTGTTATACTGATATAAATCTTTTAGGCTGCCAGGAATGCAGTTTATTATTTTAATTTTTTAGTCAAGATAATCAATTTTTTTGAAGTAAATATTTATGTATGGCAAAGACTAAATACCAATTATCCTGGGAAAAGAGCTATCAATGGATAAAAGCTTCAAATAAGTCTGTTAACCATGGCTTCTGTAGATTTTGTTCTGTGGACATGAACATTTCAGCTGGTGTAACCCAGATTAATCTACATTTGAAGTCAAAGAAACATGAAAATGCAAAATCAGCTAGGTCACAGTTTAAATTTGTGACCAATTCAGATGGTTTAGCTCTGAAGCTACCTACAAAAAGCATAATATTAGGTACCAAAGACCAAGTAGTTAGGACTGAAATTGTTCGTTGCTTAGATATAATTGATTCAAACTGTGCATTTCTGCAGCTGACGGTGACAATGCTAAGTATAAGCATATGTTTCCGGATTCTGAAATTGCTAAAGCATATCAACAAAAATCTGATAAACTTAAATATATGATTCAGTTTAGCATTGCCCCTAAAATTAAAAAATTATTCGGAATGAGTTGAAATGTTTGCCACTCACATTTCGATTTTATGAAACAACTACAGACAAAAATACAATATGACACTTATGCCACATACCATTCTAATCACTTTCACCAAATAATAACATCGTACTTGGGGGCATTGTTTGTAGGAAGGTGTACTGTGGAAGACCTTCTTGGTCATTTTAAAAAGTTATTAGGGAAAATTCAGCGGCAATCGAAGTCTATTCACTCCATTAGTATAGACGGTCCCAATGTCAATAAATTGTTCTTTAAAATATTTTAAAAACATTAGAAAATGATTTTGAAAAAAAAGAAATTCATTATTAATGTTGGGTCATGTCCACTCGAAACAGTTTCCAATTCTTTTTACAAATATTGAGACATGTCTCTACTCGTTGGATAAGCATTCAAGACGTATTAGTGAGGGTACTGGAGCAGTTTAAAAATTTGCAAGAATATTTATTAAAAGTTCTACTAAATCAAAAAAGATTCAATGGTAAAGCACGTATTGCAACAACTGAAAGGTACATTTGTATTAAGAAAGCACTGAATAATAAAATTTTGCCTGCCATTGCATACTCTGTCATCTATATTGCTCATAATTTCAAAGGCTTCACAGTTGCATTAAAAACAAAACAGCTAATGGTTAGAGCTCTGTTCCTAAAGATCCAGAACCTTCTAAAGAATTTGCTCTCAAAGTTTGTATTGATGATGTTATTCTGCAACCATCCAAATGTATAAAAAACGTTAAAGTTCAAGTGTATAAATTTCAAATTAAATAAAACATAAGATAATTATTAAATATAAAAATAAGATTTTTAAATTACAATTAACTATATATATATATATATATATATATATATATATATATATATATATATATATATATATATATATATATATATATATATATATATATATATATATATATATATATATATTAGGGTGTCCCAAAAAAAAACATTTTTGAAAATAATCTGCTCTCACCCCCTAAATGTGTTCTATCTAATACAAAAACACTAGGTTTGAATTTTTTTTGATTAAAAAATATTTTAAGGGGTCCCTCAAAACCCTCGAATATTTAATGGGTCCCTAATATTTTCGAAAAAAAAGTTTTTCAAAAATATGTCAACCTGGTAATCAAATGAAGCGAAATTATATAAATATTTCAAAAATAATATTCATTTCGAAATATTTTTAACTTATTTATCAAAATTATCATAAAAAAACATTAGAAATGCATTTTTTTCATTTTTTATTAAAAACCACAATTTTTTATGTAATAAAACCAAAAATAACAATTTTGTTTCGAAATAAATAATATTATTAAAATTTTTATATAATTTCGCTTCATTTGAGTACCAGGTTGACATATTTTTGAAAAACTTTTTTTTTCAAAAATATTACGGACCCATTAAATATTTGAGGGTCTTGAGGGACCCCTTAAAACATTTTTTATTCAAGAAAAATTTAAACCTAGTGTTTTTGCATTAGATAGAACACATTTAGGGGGTGAGAGCAGATTATTTTCAAAAATGTTGTTTTTTTAAATAATTTATTTTAAATTGTGTCACAAAATAGCCTATTCTCCTAAGAAAAATCCTGTTTTTTTAGCCCTCAATAGTCCTGTTTTTTTTTTTTTTAAATGTCTTGTTTTTTACCAATGACCCTGTAAGAACCCTGAAAATGATAGTTATAGAAATTAAATTTTTGTTCAATTTTTCAAAAAATCTCTTTCTATTAAAGATATATGGAATATATTTTTATGGGATATATTCTAATAAAGACAAAAACTATTTATTTTTTACTATTGTAATAAATACAATCTCTTATCTGTGAAAATGATATATCTGTACCAGTTTTATATATTTTTATGCATTTGTATGCAACATAATTAAAATTAATCAAAAAATGTAAGATAAATGCAAAAAGAAACTTGATGCATAAAGTTTTATTTTGTCACAAACTGACATAAATGCGCAAAATCTTTTTGGCTTCATAATCATAAGAATAAATTTTTTTATGACTATGTTTTAGATCTTTTTAAAAACAACACTGATGACAGCGTACTTAACCACTGAGCTATTAATGAAATGCATTTAGCAGAAAAACAAACCTTTTTATAAGTCTCTTATATTTGAATTTTAAGACCCTTTACTTAATTCTGAAAGATTCACAAATGATATTTATTTGCTTTATTTTTATTCTATAAGTTAAATTCTTTAACAAATCTCCGATTCAAACTGTTGTAGTTCAAGCCCATATATATTAGTATTTTGCATAATAAAAAGCAACCGTTTTTTACTTTTGCCTCAAAACAAAGTCAATATTGAAAAAAAAAATTGATCACTACGCCACTTAAATCGCTAATTATAACAGCCATTATATAGGTAAAATTATTTAAGTTAGCTAATGATTATTATGAGAAATAATTTTGTTTAATTTTAAATTATGGAAAAGTATTTATATTGATAAAATTTTTGTTAAATTAGAATGGTTAATTATTTTTTCACAAACAAAAATCGTAACGTTTTCAAATATAAATAATTTGTGTGAGTATTTATAAAATTGCTCTTATTGTATGTACTACTGCTATTTAAAAAGTAGTTAAATATTTTTTCTGTATATACAAATAAATAAATATAGCATTTTATTTTTATTTATATAAGGAAATACATTCTTATTTTATTTACTAAGGAAACTCACTAGATAAAATGCTGATTCAAACAAAACCTAAAACGATGTAAAAAAATTAACTGGTTTTGAAGAAAAAAATAGAAATCCTATTTGGTTACAATAAAACGTAGTGAAATTTGTTTATTTTTAGGAATGAAAACATAAAACGTACTTACCCCAGCACAATAAATCATGCTTGCTGCAGCACGGTGCCATTTTTTAATTCTAAGGAAATTCAATTATAACTCATTGCTTTAATATGTTGATTTAACTGGATAAGGTCAGTTTTTTATTGATATATATATATATATATATTTGATATATATATATATATATATATATATATATATTTAAGTGCGGCCGTGGCCCAGTGGTTAGAGCGCTTGCTTTGTAACCAGGAGATCCAGGTTCGAAAAGTGCTTTAGACGTATTTTGCATCACAGTAAGGAAGGAGGCGTGAACTTCCTGGTTAAATGCACTTCTGCTGTGCTCTGTGACCGTTAGGACTACTTGGGGCACCTAAAATAAGAAATTAAAAAATATATATTTATACATATTTAAATATATATATATACAAATGTGGGCCTTCAAATCAAGCATATTTGGCAAAATCTTGCATATATGGGCCTTTTTGAAAAAATCCTGCATGTGCTTTTTGGAGCCATCATGCCCTTGTCAATGTATGCAGAAAAGTTGTGCATGTTAAGTTGTTTGCCCTTAAAGTTTTTTTTTAGAATAAATTATTTTACTAAAAAATGTTGAAGTAAATAAATTATAGGTATAGAAATAATCGGTGAAGAAAAGGTATGTAAATCAGTTTGGAATAGATTTACAAAGACCTATATTTTTACGGGTCCGATCTCAGCTAGTTATACATAATACATAACCAATAACACTTGCTTATTAAGAAAACTGTATTACAGAGGTTATCTTATGTGTTGATTTTCCAAACAATTCTACAATTAATGAAGCTTCATGTCTATTTTTTTTACAGGTTAAAGTAATGAAGTAGGAGGTTGTGTCATGGTAAAAAACTTACCATGAGCCCTTTATTAAGTGAAGAAAATACTGACTATCATATCAGATGTTTACTATATTATAGTAAAATGCTTATAAATTTATAATTCAGTCCAAATTTAAATAGACTTAATAAAATAGTAATATGTTTTTATGATAAAAGTATTAATACATAAATGCTTTTAGTTATTATCTCTTTAATTAATTTTTTTACTTTTGATATGCCATTTAGAGACAAGAATGTTGACTTATAAAAGAATAGAAAGAATTTAAACAAACACAAAACCATAAAAGCAAAAATGTAGTTTTAAGAGGAAGATTTATTTGATGAAAAATAAAAAAACTCATCATCTTAAAAGCATGTTGCAGTTGCATGTTCAAAAAATGTTTTGAAAAAAAATTTTTACAAAATAGAAAGTGAAGTAAGAAAATAATTTAAAGATTTTAAGAGTCCATTAGAAAATAAACAAAGGTTGGTTAGTGAAAAATTTGAGGAGACGATAATATATCGCTATATATTGTATACATATTTTAAAAAATTTGTCACTGATCTTTTTGTTCTACATTACAGTGCAGTACGTGCTTCTAATTCTAGTCTAGACTTTATTAAGTAAACTTAATGAAGTTGTAGCTTATCACTGTTTAAAATTTAAAATAACTGATAAAAAATCTTTGATAAAAAACCATAAAAAAAGTCTTTCTTTAAATAAAAAATATACAATTACAAAAATGTTTTATATTTAAAGTACATGAAAAACAAAATTAAAAAGCCCTCCCCCCCCCCTAACCTCTCAAATATAAACATGATTGCAAAGGTTAAGATCAATTCTTCCAATCATTTTTACCAAAAAACAAAATATAATCTAAAAGTAGATAGATCAAGCTACAACAATAACTCTCATGGTATTTTTGAAAAATAAGTTAAGTGACCCCTACTATAAAGGCAAAAACTTGAATTTTTTGCATTTTTAGACAGCTGGGACCAAATTTGTATGTGCACTGGTGGGTTTTTTTTTTTTTGGAAAAAAGTATTATTATTTCAAGTTAATACAAGTAAAAGTTCATCTTATGCCGCAATGCCATTTCTGTAAAAATGAAATGTGCTTTTTAGCCATACCCCTAATATATATATATATATATATATATATATATATATATATATATATATATATATATATATATATATATATATATATATATATATATATATATATATATATATGTATGTATATATATATAATATATATATATATATATATATATATATATATATATGTATATATATATATATATGTATATATATATATATATATATATATATATATATATATATATGTATATATATTTATATATATATATATCTTTATATATATATATATATATATATATATATATATATATATATATATATATATATATATATGTGTGTGTGTGTGTGTATATATATATGCTACCCAAATAGCTAGAAATATATTTGATATTTGTATATATATGTACATATATATATGTACATATATATATGTATATATATATATATATATATATATATATATATATATATATATATATACAAATATATATATATATATATAATAATAATAATAATAATAATAATAATAATATGTGAGTCACTCAACTGTAGTTGCGTGACTTTAATAGTAAAATAAAAAATACTAATGAAATTCGTGATATAACAAAATAATAACAGTCCAATTTTTATTTAGAATTGGCCTTCTCATGTTCCTTGAGTTTATTTTTAAAAGTATTTAAATTAACAGAGTTAACAACGTCATAGATTAGAATGTTCCATTTATTAACAATCCTATTCGTAAAGTAATGTGTTCTTGCATCCGAAATACAAACATTTTGTTTGTGCAACTGTTTATTATGACCTTATAATTTTTGATATAAGTTGTTTATTGCAGGGTATTTCTAATTTACTTTATGAATGTCATTTTGAATTTTATAATATTCTATTATATCACTCCGTTCTCTTGAAATGACGTCAACCCATATTCTTTTAATCGCTCCACATATTTCATACCTTTTAAACATCTTATTTTTGTTGCTCTTCGTTGTACTTGTTCTATTTTAATGATGTCTTTTTTATAATAAGGATTCCAAATCGAACTAACAGTTTCATTAGGTCTTTATCTAAGTATATAAAACAATGTTTTATTTGACCAAGTATTCTGTTTGCTTTTTGATATTTGTAATCACCAAAATAATTTTTGTATCGTCGGCATACAACTTACAGCAATTTTTTATTTCTTGTGATATATCATCAATATAGATGACAAATAATAGCGGACCTTTTACTGAGCCCTGTGGCACTCCACTTGTTACCTCCTTGCATTCTGATTTATTTGTACCAAGGACAACTCTTTGAATTCTATTAGTCAGATATGCTTTAAACCAATTTACTAAAACTTCATTTTCACAATATGCTTTTAATTTTATTAACAATCTTTTTTGTGTAACTGTATCAATTGCTTTGGAGAAGTCCAAAAATGCTATATCAATTGAAAAACCAAGTTCCAGAGACTGTGTAATTAAATCTAAAGACTCTAGTAAATTTGTGCAACAGTTTTTACTACAAATCAGATATTAATGCTGCAAATTAGATATTAATTTATTTTCAACAAGATGTTCCATCAAAGCGTCTCTTATTATACTCGCCATTATTTTGCATACGATAGACGTTAATGAAACAGGACGATAGTTTGTTGCTTTCAATTTGTCTCCTTTTTTAAATATAGGGATAATATTTGCACACTGCCATAATCTTGGAATTATGCCACTTGAGTAGGATCGATTAAAAATAATTGACAATGGATTTGAAATACTACTAGAACATTCCTTTAAAACTCTCGGGTGCACTTTGTCTTCACCTGTAGATTTATTAACATTCAATTTACTTAACTTTTTAACAACGGTGTCAATATTTATATCCCGACTTGCAATTGGTTTAGGTAATGTTTTATTAAATGTTGGTACATTATCGTTTTCTTTTTGAAAAACTGAATGAAAAAAATTATTCAGTACTTTAGTAATATCTGATTTAACTATCGATATTGTTCCATCTTCCATTTCCAGAGCATTTATTTTCTGATTGATTTTAGTTTTACTGTTTATATATTGGTATATCAATTTAGGATTTTCTTTGGCTTTATGAACAATTTCATACTCATATTCTCTGATTGTTGATTTTACAGTTTATTTTTGTGACTTTATTGATATTTTTGTATTTCCTTAATAAATTTTGGTCTCTAAATTTGGAATTCTGCACTTGATCCACAGTTTTATTTTCAACTTTATCAATGCTGCAAATTTTTTATTAAGCCAAAGTGTTCTTTTGATTTTATTTATATTTGATTGTGGGATATATAGAGTGCATGCCATATCATAATGTTGTAACCATTTATTGTAACACTCGTCTGCGTTAAAGTTTTCAAAGAGATTATCCCAGTTGATTTTATCAAAGTAGTTGTTCATATTACTGTAGTTCCCTTTAACACACATATATTTTTTAGTGTATGATTGACTTACAATTTTATTTGATGGAGTAAAATTATAGCAAAAAGTTAGAATATGATGCCCATTAAGTCCGTGTTAAAGTGGTGGGTGGTGTACTAAATTGAAAATTCTTGAGTTTCTTTTTGTTATTACAAGATCCAAAATATTGTTTTTTTTTATCATTTTCAAGATGAAATGTTGGTTTTATTACGTTTTAGAACAAATAGAATTTATTTAAGCCATCTATAAATAAAAGCGGTAGCGGTGTAGTGGTAGAGCGCTCGCTTCATAAACGAGTGGTTCCGAGTTCGATCCCCACCACGTCCCTGGTAGTATGGCGCTCAACTCGTTTCTCCGCGCAGCGGCCTTGTTCATCAAGGTTCGTGTTTCGGAGCTATAGAGTTAAGAGAGGGCTATAACCACAAATAAGTAGCCTCCTCATCTGTAGTGGCCTTCTCGACCTTGAGGAGGTGAATTAAATTAAAAAAAAAAATAACTGCGCTATTTCGTTTTTTCCAGTTACTTAATACAGAATTGCTCCAATTGATTTAAGGGAAATTAAAATCCCCACATAAGAGAATACCACTTGCTTTTTTATTCAATATCATCTTGTCGGCTGCTTCAATTGACCTCATTACATTTATGCAGTTGTATATGTCACTATCTCAAGTACGTTAAATACATCCGCAAATAAGTCTTTCTCTACCAATGACTAAAGAACACCAAATCTGTTCAATTAGATTACTT